GAGCAGGGGAGGGTCAGAGAGAGAGGGAGTCACAGACTGAAACAGGCTCCAGGCTCTGAGCTGGCAGTCAGCACAGAGCCCGACGCGGGGCTCGAACCCACGAACCGCGAGATCATGACCTAAGCGAAAGTCGGAGGCTCAACCGACTAAGCCACCCAGGCGCCCCAAGATTGCTTCCAGTTTTTAACTACCACAAACATACTAGCGTTTTGTCTCCTTGAGGATATGGGTGATATTTTTCTGGATTATCCACCCCAGGGTAGGATGCTGGGTCATACCTACAGCTGCAGAATTCTTCTCTGGAGTGGTCACATCAGTTTATGCTTCCCAACAGCATTGCATAAAGGTCTGACTTCTCATATCCCCCCAGCATTTGGTATTGTTTGCTTTTCTAATGTTTATCCATCTGATGGGTTGTAAGGTGGCATCCCATTGTGTTAATTTTCCTGTATTATCCATTTGGGTTTCCCCTTTTATGAGTTGCCTATTTGTATCCTTTTCCCACTTTTCTGTGAATTTCCTGTTGTCCTGACTTGCAGGAATTCCTTGGATGTTCTAGATTCTGATTCTTTGTTGGTTTTACACTTAGCACTTATCTTCCCCATGTCTTTTTATTTAACCCGTGGCTCTGTGTTAAGCAAAACTAAGTCCCTGGGGTGCCTGAGTGGCTCAGTCAGTTAAGCATCCAACTTCAGCCCAGGTTCAAATCCCACGTCGGGACTCTTTCTCCCTCTTACTCTTCCTCTCTCTTTGTCCCTTGTGGGATTCTCTCTTCCTCTCACTCTCTGCCCCTCGCTCACCCGGGCTTGTTTGCACTCTCTCTCTCTCTCTCTCTCTCTCAGACACACACACACACACACACACACACACACACAAGTAATAAGTAAATTAGTTTTCCCCTTTATAAATATTTGTGGGTCTGGGGTCTTATTTGAGGAATCTCTCCCACTGTATCTTCGTTGATATGTTCTTCTGCATTTCCTTCTATTAACTAAATATAGTTGCTTTTCACATTTAGGTTTTTAATCCATTTGGAGTTTTTAAATTTTATCTTTCTAAATGATTTAAGGTAATGACTTAAATTTTCCTCTACCATTTTCAGTTATTAACTATCATAATTAGAAATTAGAGAACCTGTGTAGCCTAGTTAAGAGCTCACTTTCTTGGACCTAGGTGGCCTGTATCCACACCCTAAGGCTACTACTTACCAGGTGGGTGACAGGGCAAATTACCCTCTTTGGCTTCAGTTCCTAATCCATAGAATAGGATGTAATCTCCATCTCTTAGGGTTATGACAACCAAATGAGTTAATACATGTAAAATACATGGAGAACAGTACTGGGCACATAGTACATGCTTCCTAAGTGTTAATAGGTGTTAAATATTAATATGTCATTTCTTGTGATACAACCACTATTATGTACCCATGTAAACATAGGTTTGTTTTTCCTTTTTGGTCTCTGTCCCATTGGCGTTTTCGTTCCTGTATTAAAACCACATTTGTTCTGTATTAAAACCACAGCTCTGCAATATGATTTGTTTTTAATAACTGATGATTTGAGTCTCTTCCCTCCTCCCTTTCTGTTCTTCGCAGTTGCCCTCAGCTATTCATTGGCCTTTATATTTCCATATAAAGTTCCTCAGAGAAGTTCTGCTTGTGATTGGTAATATACTGAATTTATAGACTAATTTTGTTAGAAATTAGGTCTTTATATATATTTTTTAATGTTTATTTAATTTTGAGAGATAGAGAGAGCACGAGCAGGGGAGGGGAGGCGAGGGAGACACAGAATCTGAGGCAGACTCCAGGCTCTGAGCTGTCAGCACAGAGCCCAATGCAGGGCTGAAACTCACAAACCATAAGATGATGACCTGGGCCAAAGTCAGACACTTAACTGACTGAGCCATGGCACCCCTGTCTTTATATAATGCCAAGTCATGCCAGCTCTAAGTCTTCTTTCACATCCTGTGATAGAGCTTTCTTTTTTCTTTCAAAATGTATTTTTTTAATGTTTATTATTTTTATTTTGACAGAGAGTGTGTGCTTACACACGCGAGCAAGGGAAGGGCAGAGAGAGAAGGAGAGAGAATCCCAACAGGCTCCTCACTGTCAGCGCAGAGCCTGACAAGGGACTCTATCTCATGAATCTTGAGATCATGACCTGAGCCGAAATCAAGAGTCAGATGCTTAACCAACTGAGCCACCCAGGCGCCCCTCTTCCAAAATGTCTTACACACTCTTTTTAAAAGTTAATCTCTGGATATTTTATAGTTGTTTTAATGCTTTTCCTTTGTAAATGACATCTTATTTTCCAGTTGGTTATTGGTATAGAACACTATTGATATTTGTATGTTAACCCTGTATCTAGCTGAACTCCTTTTATTTCCAGCATTTGTCTATTGATTTGCCGTTTGTTGGGTAAATGATCACATTATCTGCAAATAAAGACCATTTAATCTCTCCCCTTTTAATTCTTTTACCTCATTTATTTTTCTTGCTCTATTGATTTAGCCGGAACCTTAAAATCCTTGATGGGCTTTCTTATCATGTTTGGAACCATATAGAGGTTGTGGCTGAAGTTTCTTCATTAACTGTTTTCTAGCTGTAGATTTTTGGTAAATAACCTTTCTTAGCATTTACCAGCTTCAAGAGATTCCTTTCTCTCCCATCTCTTCCTAACATTCTTGCTGCATGGCCTGGACCATAGAACAATGTCATAAATTTGGTAACTGTTCTCTACGGCTTAATTGCCATCTTAGGTTTCTGTCTGCTTCTCCTGCATCTCTTCTGCAGGCCCAGATTAGATCTGCAATTTCTCCAGCGGTTCCTGAAGATACAGAAGGTTTTGTTTCCCTCTTGGGCATCACAGAATGTTTTGATGTTCCTGACCCTTTTGTGTGTGGCCCTACTGGGTGAGTGAGTGAGCCCAGATTGGAGCGGGGGAGGGCAACCCTGGTTTGGGGTTCCTTCTCTGGAGAGTTGATGAGGCAGCTGTTCAGGGGGGAACCTCCCTTCTTGTTTTCTCACCCTTCATCATCGATTTTTGACTCCTCTCCCTACCCCAGAACAACTGGTGATCTACCAGGTTGGCTTGCTCCCCAGTCAGTACTATGGGGTCCTGGGAAACAAAGACTTGGATGGGTTCAAGACCCTGACATTCCTGGCTGTCGTGCTCATCGTTCTCAACTCCATGGTAAGGTCTTCTCTGTGTGTTTCTCTTCCTCTCCAGCCTAGTCTGAGATGAATTCCCTGTGGACCTTAGCCACCAGGAAGCAGGAATCAAGTTGTGGGAGGGGTGTTTCCTCCCTTTTCTGGGAACTGGAGGTCAGAACCCTGTTCAGGGCATTGATCTTGATGTTTGGACTAATTCGTCAGGTGTTTCAAGCTCCCAGGACTAGGCTGGGAGGTTCCGGTTAAATCAGCATTGAGCAGAAATGATCTTGTCCCTTCCATTCTCAGAACGCTTGCTTCAGGGAGCTTAGAGCACTTGAAAGTGGGGATCAGCAGCTAGGGGGTTGTTGCCTCTCTGTGGGGCTGAGGCCGTGGTTCAGCCTGAAACTATGTCACACCTCCCAGCCTTTGCACCTGCTGCGGTCCTGCACAGTGGCCTCCTTCCCCACGCTCATTCCCTCAGTTAATGCCTGCTCACTTTGCAAGGTTCTGCTGTTGTCACCGCCTTCGGGTCCTCCTTAGCCTTCTCCTTCATGTTTCATCCACCAAACCCTGACCTCTTCTCTGCTTAACTAATACTTTGAGTTAACTTCTGTAATACTCACGCCCTTGTCATTGTTTCCATGCTAGACTGAGCTCATTGTCATTGCCTTGGGCTTAGCGTGTAGGTGCTCCATCAGTGGTGAACAGGGAGAGTCAGGCCTCTGCTAGGACTCAAGACTAACGCTCTGTGTGCCATACTACCTGTTTTCCTGGGGAAGCCACTTCTCATCACACTTGGGCAATTTGGATGGGTCTTCTGGAAGTAAACACCTGTGTATACATAACCCTGTTCTAAGCTTTGGGGAACAGAAAAGTAAGAACATAAATGGCACAGAAGATACCCTCCCCAATCTCCAGAAGCTCACCTGCTCTCAGCATAAGACGGAACACTTACTGTCTTGGCTTTGGTAAGCCCTTCAGTATTTGGTGAAGGAATGAGCATGGGAGGGAGGGAAGAATCCCCTGACTTGACACTTGAAACAAGCAGAAGCGCTGAGTGGACAGAGACTGGTCGGAGTGGGTGGGGACTGGTCGGCAGAGGCTTTCTGCCAGCCCCACGCTTCTGGCTGAGACCTGCAGTAAGCCATCTCTCCCTCTCGCTCCCTTCCTCTTGCTTCCCCCGCTGCACAGCTGAAGAGCTTTGACCAGTTCACCTGCAACCTGCTGTATGTGAGCTGGAGAAAGGACCTCACCGAGCACCTTCACCGCTTCTACTTCCAGAGCCGTGTGTACTACACCCTCAACGTGCTGCGGGATGACGTCGACAACCCGTAGGCGCCCGCTCTCGGCCCTCCCTACCCTCTGCAGGGTCCTTTCAGGCCTGGAGAGTCCCTGTCGCGGGCCCCTTAGGGCTCACCCAGTTAGGTGCGGGTGTTGATAAGCACCCTACACGAGGGAGACTGTAGAAGAACCCTGGAGGGGCTGCAGGGCTGAGAATAGGGAGCTGAAAGATAGGAGCTGCTCCCTTTTGTCCATCTTCTATCCTGCGCTTCCAAACCAGGCACCCTCTGAAGAAAGCGGCCTTGCTAGCAGACCAGCTTTTGGATTTTCAGCAGTAGAAAACTGCTGCCTAGGATTCCCTGTAAAATTCAGCTCTACATTGTGGCACCTCCCAGTTTATAGGCCTTAGTTCACTGAGCCCAGGTTCCCTTTCTGGAAAATGAGGATGATATTTCCTATCTGAAGACTATCTCGGGTGATATACATGGAATGCACGCATGCAGCACCTGGCACCTCCCAAGGGGTCCAGTGTGAGTTAGCTCTTGTTACTTTATAGGTGAGGAAACTGAGGCCCAGAGAAGGCAAGTAGCTTGCCCAGGGTCATGTCTCTCATCGGAAATAGGAGTCAGTGTGGCCCCCGCGGTGCAGTGGGACATGTGGGGTCTCTCCTCACACTCATTCCCTCTCCACTCACCACCCTCAGGCACTTTCTTGCCTGGGGTGACCTTTCCTCAGCCTAAGCTGAGCTTGGCAGCAAAGATTCTTGGGATGCCTGTTGCCTCTTATCTTCCAGGCTTCTCCGGGGGACCCATATGAAGCTTCTGCAGCCAGATAGTGAAAGTGGGGGCAGGCTCAGGCTTGCAGAAGTTATTGGGAGGAGCTAGATAGACAGGATGACTTTTCTGCTCATCCAGAAACTCAGTGTATCTACCCTCATGTCTTTCTCTGGTGCTGCTCAGGACCCCTGGGTACTGGACCTTTCACCTGCCACTTTTCCTGAGCAGTAAACTGAGGCACCCTAAGAAGCCCCTCTTCAGAACCCCATTTAAAGATCCTAAGGGTCTTGGTGCCTCTAGGAAAACCAGTGCTTATCTGGGTCCGTCTTCCCCCCGGGATCGTAGCTGACAGTGCCAAAAGGCAAGGTCAGGGTAAGAGGCACCATCAGTCTGTCTCCACTCTCTCCACTCTCTGCCCTGCTCCCTGGCCTAGTTGCTCTGTGTTGTTGGATCCAGGGACCAGCGCATCAGCCAGGATGTGGAACGGTTCTGCCGGCAGCTCAGCAGCATGGCCAGCAAGCTGATCATCTCCCCCTTCACCCTCATCTACTACACCTACCAGTGCTTCCAGAGGTGAAGCCCCTTCTCCTCCCCCAGCCGGGTATTTTCCCTGAGGTCCCTCACTCACACAAGCTCTCCCAAGTCAGGGTCTCCTCTCCCTCCTACCTGCAGCCCAGGAAGGCTTCCTCTGTCCTGTGCTCGCCCCCCTGCCCTCCCTTGGGACCTGTGGCATTTCAGTGTCACAGAGATCCTGGTACTCTGACCACCTAGACCGGATAGCAGATGCCCCCACACGGGAGCAGAGGTCTCAGAACTGCTGGCTGGAACTGGGCAGCTGCTGCCTGAAAGTGAGCAAGAATCAGGGCTGAGCCCTGCAGAGATCTGTGACACCCCTCACTCTCCTCCTCTCTGCCTTTCAGCACAGGCTGGCTCGGGCCTGTGAGCATCTTCGGGTATTTCATCCTGGGAACCATGGTGAACAAAATGTTGATGGGGCCCATCGTGGCAAAGCTGGTGCAGCAGGAGAAGCTGGAAGGGGATTTCAGGTGTGTCCGTCTTGCGTGAGGTTTCTGGGCTGAGTGTAATGGCTAAGGAATGAGATCTAGAGTAAGACAGCCTCATTTAGATCCCAGCCTGTGCTAGTTACTAGCCATGTGCTCTTGGGTGAGGTCTTGAACCTCGCTAAACTTGAATGATGCCATCTCTACAAGGCATGGTACTGTTTCCTGCAGAGAGGATAGTGAGGGGGATTACTGAGATTATACGTGAGAAGCACCAAGAACAGTGTCTGGTGGGCCATCAGCATCCCCTGGCCTTCTCATGTGCTTCTGTTCCAACCTCCCTGCTTTGGCTCAGCTGATGCTTCCAGCCCCTGCTCTTGCTTCTCAGCCCCCTCCTTCAGCTTGGGCCCTGGGAGGAGGTGGTATGGGCAGGAATGCACTTGTCCTCTGGGGAGCTGAGGAGCTGCTCTGTCTGCAGGGCCTGTCATCCCACACAGGTCCTGGGATTCCCGCCTTGTGGCACCAAGACAGCCACAGTTCTGAGGTGGAGGGTTCCTCTTTGTCTTAGTCCAGGCCTCTGAAAGGAGAGTGGTCTATACTGGCTGCTGTCAGCACACATTTCCCTTTGGTCTGCCCAGGTTCAAGCACATGCAGATCCGGGTCAATGCTGAGCCTGCTGCTTTCTTCAGGTGAGTCAGGTGGGGATAGTTCCCTTCTGCCCCATCAGAGCTGATAGAGAGGAGGTGGCAGAGAAGGGAAAACAAATTGTACAGCCCTCTCACTATCACTGAGCCTCGGGGCCGAGTGTCCTTACATTTGACTATGACCCCGTCCCCGTATCTCTCACTGTCTTTGTCGGCCTCATTCTTATGTCCAGGGATTTGCTTCTGAAGCTGGTTCCTTCTAATGGCCTAACATGGGGCCTAAATTTGTTCCAAGAATGAAATGAGTGAATGTTTCACATCTTGGTGATGACTGTAAGGCATTGCTTCTGCCTTTGTTTTACCCTCTTTAAAATGGCTTTCTGCCACTGCCTGATGGCCGACCAAAGAGTCTCAAAGGCCAATCCTTTGTCTCTGTAGCATAAAGGAGGAAAGGGAGCCTCAGGAGATCAGGAGACCTGGTATTTACAAACACTGTTCAAGTGGAACAAAGAGTCACCTGGTCTCCTGACAGCCGCATTGTGAAATTTCATTTCTTCCCTCAGGGTCAGGACAAGTCCCTGTGCCCCGCCTCATGTGAGGCCTTTGCAGTCCTCTTTAGGACTAATCGCTCAGGCCCCAGAGGTGTTTGTGGAAGCTGCCGTTGCATTATCTGGATCTCCTTGTCCATGGACTTTTGCACTTGTCCATCTCTGCTGCAGTTTGCAGCTGCCACCACTTGGGGGCGTCAAGAACACTAGGAATCTACAGGGTGGGGTGGGGTGGGGTGTGTGGTGGGTAGGGCTGGGCCTATGCTAAGTTGTGGATTGTGCAGCCTCTCAAGAAGCTCTGGGGAAAGCAGGTTGGTTCTTGGAGCTCTGGATGGGTTCTTCCATGGGGTCTCTGGCCCTCAAACACTTTCCATGTGCCAGGCGGAGAATGCAGTGTATTTGCCTGCCCCCCTAAACTGGGAGCCCAAGGACAGGGACTATATCCACTTTTTTATCTCACTGGCTAACTAGCATAGAGCCTGCTACATAGCGACTACTCCGTGTATAGTTGTTTAATAATAACAGCTGTTATTTATTGAGTGTCCCTCTTATGCCTGGTGCTTTATATTTAGAAATTCTCACTCTGACTTATTATGTAGGTAGTAGCTCCATTTTATAGAAGAAAGAAACAGAATCTGAGCCTTAAGTAACTTCTCGGTGTCACCTAGCTAGTAATTGGCCAGAGCCAAGATTTGAACCAGGTCTGCCCAATCTAGAGTTCATGTTCTTTCTGCAGACAATACTATGTTGAGAAAATGAAGCAATGAATGGATGCTAGTGGCAGAAAGGGTCTGAGGTGAAGACTGTTTGAATAGGCCTGGTCCCTAAAGGAGAGTGTGATGAGGGTTGGAGGGTGCCCTGGCCTGGCTAAGGCTCTCCAGGCCCCATGGACATGCTAGCCTTTCTTGTCAGAGCTGGGCACGTGGAGCACATGAGGACAGACCGCAGGCTGCAGAGACTCCTTCAGACCCAGAGGGAGCTGATGTCCAAGGAGCTCTGGCTGTACAGTAGGTGGAGGGAGCCCCGGGAGGCAGGAACCACAGAATTGGGACAGTCCCCTTCCCTTCCCACACCTCCCTGCTTTCTCTCTGCACTAATCAGTTTGCTCCGATGAAGGAATTAACCACAGGGAGCCACTGCCTTTGTCATGAGTACCTTCAGGAGAATGAGGATCCAGGAAATGGCTTGGCCCTGCTCGTCTTCCTCCTCCCTCGGAGCTCATGCATGGCCCCTGCGGCTCTTATCCTGGGTGTTTCTGTCTTCTACAGTCGGCGTCAACACATTTGACTATCTGGGCAGCATCCTGAGTTACATTGTGATTGCAATCCCTATTTTCAGTGGTGTCTATGGAGACCTGAGCCCCACAGAGCTCAGCACCGTGGTCAGCAAGGTGAGAATCCCCCCTGGCGACCCCTCATGCCATCCCCTTTGGCCAAGTGCCCAGGGCCTTGGAGTCCAGACCTTTGATCAGCACTCACTGTCCTGTGCAGAATGCCTTTGTGTCCATTTACCTCATCAGCTGCTTCACCGGGCTCATCAACCTCTCCAGCGCCCTCTCAGATGTGGCTGGTTACACGCACAGGTGAGGCTGCGTCAGGCCCCTCTCTAGGTCCTGAGCAAAGCTACTGGAGAAGTAGCTGAGTGGAAAAAAAGGAACAGAAAAACCGAATGCTAGTGGGTGTGAGAGAGAGGGAGTAACACCTTCACCTGGGCCCTCGGACCCTCCTCAGGTTTTCACTTCTTGCCCAGGATCGGGGAACTCAAGGAGACCCTTCTGGACATGTCGCTGAAGTCGCACGCTGGGGAGATCCTGGACGAGAGCGAGTGGGACGTGGATAGGTGGGTGCCGGGCTGGCGGGGTGGCACAGCGGTTGAGGAGGCAGCTCTGGGCGCGCCCAGCTCGGGGTCGCCCCGGAGCCCTGCCCTTTCCCAGCTGTGCAGCAGGATTGTGCGGAGCAAATAGAGATCTCTGCCTCGTGCCAGTCACGTTACAGATGGTCACAGTCAGTGTTGCTGTTCTGCCTTCTATTGTGTTGACTTACACCTCCCCTCCGCTGCCTGTGATAAGATAGATCTGAGAGGTACCCCTCCCGCTGAGCCCTGCCACCTACCCCTCGGGGTGTGCCTGTTCCCTGTTCCCCTGCTTCGCTCACACCCACATACGTCTTTATTCGTGTCTCCTTGCACGCTCTGTGATGTTTCTGACCCTTCTGTGCAACTGAGGATTCGTTTCATGTCCTCGCTTTTCCTGAGCTAATTACTTAACTGTTCTGTGTCTCAGTTTCTTCATCTCGTAAGGGGAACAGTAACAGAACTTTCCTCTCAAGGTGCTTGTGAGGATTAGGTATCATAGTTCACAGGAAGGACTTGAACAGTGGCCGTAGAGAAAGCTTTCAAAAAATGGAAAGAGCCTGAACTGCAGGGACTCCACACAAGTGTCTCCTTAGGGACCAAAGCCTTAACGGTTGCCCCTGTTGAGAATTCAGGCTTCGTGCAACGCTGAGGCTGGGGCTGGGGAGATGGGGCAGTGACCACAGGAGACCGGAGGTGCTGTCGTTCAGGGGAGATGGGTGTCTGTGCAGCCCCAGAAACTGCAGATCCCTTTACGACCACCACACCCATCCTGTCCGAGTCCCTGGCTACACCCGCTATGAAAACCCACCTGCCTTGTAGTTAGACAGCTTCAGCCCTGTGTCCCCGAGGGGGTTACTTAGCCACCTGACTCAGTTTCCTCATCTACCAAGTGGGGCTAGTATCTGTGATGCGTGGGTTGTTAAGGCTGATTAAGAGGAGTCTTGTGCGGGGCTTTGCGAAGCCTGGAACAGAGGAGGGGCCCCCAGCCCCACTTGTTAGTCCGCTGGGGCTGCCCTAACAGTACCACACAGCAGGTGCCTTATCCAGCAGACACGCATTTCCTCACAGTTCTGGAGACTGGAAGTCCCAGATCAAGGTGTTGGCTGGGTTGGTTTCTTCTGAGGCCTCTCTCCTCGACTTCCAGATGGCTGTCTTCTCTCTGTGTAGAGAGAGAGGGAGGGGAGGACAGGCAGGGGAAGGGCATGAGTTCATGACCTGAGCCGAAGTTGGACACTTAACTGACTGAACCACCCAGGCGACCCTTTCCCTTTTCTTTTTTTTTTTTTTAAATATTTACTTTTGAGAGAGAGATAGAGACAGCATGAGCAGGAGAGGGTCAGAGAGAGAGGGAGACACAGAATCTGAAGCAGGCTCCAGTCTCTGAGCTAGCTGTCAGCACAGAGCCTGATGTGGGGCTCGAACTCACGAACCGTGAGATCATGACCTGAGCTGAAGTCGGATGCTTAACCGACTGAGCCACCCAGGTGCCCCCCTCTCCCTTTTCTTAAAAGGACCTCCACTGTATTAGATTAGAGCCCTAGCCTAATGGCCTCATTTTAATGTAATCATTTCTTTAAATACCTTATCTTCAAATGCAGTTACACTCTGAGGTACCAGGGATTGAGACTTCAGCATGTTATTTTGAGGACACAGTTTAGCCCATAACCACCCCCCTATCCAGAGGTAAGACCCCCAAGGACAAGACCTTCCCCGTTGGCAAAACACACTACTTATCTTCCCCACACTCCCTCCTTGATCGCAGGGCCCCATACTGGCCAGCCTCAGAGCCAACAGACACGGCTTTTCTCCTCGAGCGGGTCTCCATCTGTGCTCCCTCCTCTAACAAACCCTTAATCAAGGATCTGAGCCTGAAGATCTCTGAAGGTCAGAGTCTGCTCATCATGGGCAACACGGGCACCGGCAAGACCTCCTTGCTCCGGGTTCTAGGCGGCCTCTGGGCAAGCACATGGGGTGAGAACCAGCCCTCCCTACCTCTGAGCCAGCCTTGGCCCAGTGGGGTGCATGCATGCGTGCGTGTGTGTGTGTATAAAAATCTGGGTGTTTTGTCAGGGAGAGGAAATGAGAGGTAGTTACTTGTCTGGGAGATCTCAAAATGGAGGTGTCTGTGGGCTCTGCAGGCTCAGTGCAGATGCTGACGGACTTTGGACCCCATGGGGTGCTGTTCTTGCCGCAAAAGCCATTCTTCACTGATGGGACCCTTCGGGAGCAGGTCAGCGTGGAGCCCACTCCCACCCTCCCCTAACAGGCTTTGGGCAGTATGACAGGTGTCAGCTCCAGAGAGTTATGGGGCAGCAGGTGGGATAATAAAGTGGCCCCTGCCTAGGAGCTCCTTGGCTCTGAGAACTTTTTATTTACATCCATGGATTGGGCCATTAGAGTAACTCCTTGGGACAGGTTGCTGGGGGCCCTGCCCCACCATCTGCCAGCCCAACCTCTCCCACTGGACTCCTGGCCCAGGTGTTCCTTGCTGTCCTCAGGTGGAGAGTAGCCTGGCCTTGGCCGTTCCTGGGGCTGCTTCTGTGGGAGGGTGGGCTGCGGGCGGCCCCACCTCTCATTGGCCCTCATCTTAGCCCCGTGTGGTTTTCTTTTGTCAGGTGATATATCCCCTGAAGGATATCTACCCAGACTCAGGTGAGCTGGGTTCGTTAAGGCTTATCCTCTCCTGTCAGCTGCCCCCACTCAGCCTGGCTGAGGCCTCGCTGGTGCCTTTTGACAGAGGTTCCAGCGAGGCTGCTGGCTTTGGGTTGGTTTTCTTCTCCTTGAACGGCTTACGATTTGGAGAACTCTTCTTGCTCTGTCGTCCTCTCCTTGAGGAAGGACACCCCCTGGAGGAAGGGAAGGGATTAGTCCCCTCACCTGGTCCTTCCCTTATGTGTTAAGTGCCATAACCCCTCCCTGCAGAGGTGTGGCCCAGATTCTGGCCTCCCCCAATCTGCCCCCTGCCATGATGTACCCCATCTCTTCTGGCTGCCTAGAAGGAGCCGACTTCTTGAAGAAAGCTTCTCTGTGTTGCAGGCTCTACTGACGATGAGAGGATCATGAGATTCTTGGAGTTGGCAGGCCTGGTGAGTGGACAGGGACCCTGAGGCCCAGGCCCACCTGATAGCGCTGCCCACAAGTGCTGGTCCAGCGGAGTCAGCCGACTGGCCTGGGCCCAGGACCGGAAGTAGGAGCCTGGGCCAGGGGAGTGGAGTGGAAAGTGGCGACGGGAGTACTGGGCATGTACAGGCAATCAGGGGGTGTCTTCTCTGGAGCGAATTTTAAAGTGATAACAAAACACTAAGCCAGTCTGCTTTTTCTTGTCCTCATGCTCCAGCAAATCTAAACTGTGCGGTTAGTGGGGTGCTCCTCTCTGCCTGCGGCAGATTGCTCCCACAACCCCCTGCCACCTGACTCAGAGATGTGTGGGGCGGGCTGACAGGAAGCAGGGATGGGCCCTCTCACCGACAGTGCTCCCTCCGGGTGTGTTACAGTCCAGTTTGGTGGTGAGGACGGAGGGTCTGGACCAGCAGGTCGATTGGAACTGGTAAGAAGGGAGTTGGGGTGCTCCAGAGCCAGCTCCCCCATAGACTGGGCTCCAGGTACTTGCTGGACCATCAAGGGCATGTTCATGCCCTCAGGAGCCGAGTTTGGATCTCATCTTGTGGGCAGCGGGGCTGCAGTGTTGTTGAAGGGAGGAGGGTGGTGTCCATCTGTTCTGGGGCCAGCCTCTGCCTAGACTCGTTCTGGGCAAGAGCCAGGCTGTATCCTCCTTCCTCTAGTGCTCCTCTCGTTCCCACTCCTCAGGTACGACGTTCTGTCCCCCGGAGAGATGCAGAGGCTCTCCTTTGCCCGGCTCTTCTACCTGCAGCCAAAGTACGCAGGTGAGGTGTTCCCCATAGGTGTGCGTGCCAGGTACTGGGGGCTCACGGGTGTGTGTGTGTGCTCTTTCATGTATAACTGGGGAGGCGTTCAGAGGGTAGGAGAGCACGCCTGTGCATGACTGCGCGTCTCTGTCCCTGCGGGACAGGATGATGGGCTCTGCCCATGAGGCAGTAGGGGGCTCTCGGAATCCTCAGAACGGCTCTGGATGAGCTGTACCACCAGTTCCTAAGCATTCTGTCATCCAAAAGTGGGCCTCACACCTCCCCCCCCAGCTCTGCCTGGAGAGGGACAACAGGTGTGAGCTTCTTCAGGGACTGACATCCCTGGGGGAACTAAGAATCCCTGGTTTGAGCGGTTCCAGGCAGTGCGGGTGCCTATTATAGGACGCCAAGGGATTTTGCCCTGCTGCTGGTAGAAGGCTTCCCGGGTGGAGCCTAGCCCCCTGCCCCTGGGCCCCGCTCTCCGTCTGGCAGGACTCCCGTAAGCCAGGACAGCTGCCAGCCTCCCCCAGGTCCCAGCCGGAGGTGAGTGGGGTTTGGAGGAGAAGCAGAGGTGGGCAGGGGCAAGACCTGATCTCTTCCCATCGGCTTCTGCCCTCAGTGCTTGATGAAGCCACCAGTGCCCTGACCGAGGAGGTGGAGAGCGAGCTCTACCGCATTGGCCAGCAGCTGGGCATGACGTTCATCAGCGTGGGACATCGGCGCAACCTCGAGAAGGTACCCAAGGAGATGCCCAAAGGAGGAGGAATAGCCCAACGGCTGGCTAGGGGCCCTTCAAAATGGGGAGTAGGGGTGGAGAAAGGGCAGGGCTTCCTGTTGGTGCGGCTGGGGCAGCCTGACCTCTCCGTGGTGGTGGTCTCTTGCAGTTCCACTCCTTGGTTCTGAAACTCTGTGGAGAAGGAAGATGGGAACTGGCGAGAATCAAAGTGGAATGAGGCCAGCGGCGTGGCTGCGGCCACTGGAAGAAGTGCTGAGCTCGGGGCAGATTGCCATCCTCCCTGGAGAGACCAGGTGGCAAGGGAGACCCCTGGCCGCCTCGCGGCTCCTGCGCAGGGAGCGCTGGCAGCCAGGGCCCCAGCGGGGGTGTGGCTCCCTGTGGGGCCTGTCAGGCGCCTCCTGCTGCAGAGCTCCCTGCACCCCAAATGCTGATTGCTTACAGGTGACCTCAGATTGCGTTTCCTAAAGAAAAACCTGAAAGGGTGAGATCTATAAGAAATGTAGGGTCAATGTGGAGAGAATATTGGGCTTAAAGTCCGGAGATCCGGAAATCTTTTAAATCCATTAAATTTTGTGGTGATAGATTTTTAACTTGAATCAACCATTTAAATTTTATAATGTTTTTTTAAAAGAAAAGATAAACATTTCTTAAAAATTGGAGCTTTCTCCCTACTCTGTCCTCTCCATTGTAAGATGACCTTTGAATTGAATCTGCAGACTTGTGTTTGGGAGCCAGGGGGAAGGGAGTAGCACTCCCCACAGTGCTGGAACCTTCTGTGCCTGGTTTTTCACTTCGCCCCACATCTCCACATTCCCTTTGCTGGTTGTACTTGAGCCACTAACCTCTAGGGCCCTTCTGTTCTTGTTTTAACTCCGATGCAGCTAAATCTCTTTCCCCTCAGTCAGCTAAAATAAGGAGGAAATTTTTTTTTTAAATGGTCTTATTGTTAGGAAACAGCAACAGCCAGGGGGAACAGACAAAACGCAGAAAGCATAAAATTTTGCTATGGAAAATGATTGAGCCCAAAGTCCTTATTCTAGAACAATGTTCCCCAATGTTTAGTTGTCAGAGCAGCACATCCATAATTTTTGTCAGATCTCTTTATTTGTTCACCACTTAATTTTTTTTAATGTTTATTTATTTTGAGAAGCAGAGAGAGAGAGAGAGAGACTCCCAAGCAGGCTCTGCTAACAGTGCAGAGCCCAAGACAGGGCTCGATCTCACAAACTGAGATCATGACCTGAGCTGAAACCAGGAGTCAGACACTTAACTGACTGAGGCACCCCAGTCACTTAATATTTTCTGAACTGACACTTTTTTTTTTGTTTGTGTTTGTGTGTGTGAGTTTATTCATTTATTTTGAGAGAGAGGGAGAATCCCAAGCAGGCTCCACACCAGTAGTGTGGAGACCCTTGTGGGGACTGAACTCCCAAACCGTAAGATCATGACCAGAGCAGAAACCAAGAGTCAGACGCTTATAACCAACTGAGCCATCCAGGCGCCCCAGAATTAACTCCCTTTATAAAACTAATTGTGTTTTTTAAAGTTTATATTTGATATAAATAGAAGTAACTGTGGGGCACCTGGGTGGCCCAGTCAGTTAAACGGCCGGCTCTTGGTTTCTGTTCAGCTCATTGTCTCATGGTCCGTGAGTTTGAACCCAGAGTCAGGCTCCTCACTGACAGTGCAGAGCCAGCTTGGAATTCTCTCTCTCTCTCTCTGTCCCTCCCCTGCTCACCCTCTCTCTCAAGATAAATGAAAAGAAAAATAAAGTAAAAATGAATGTAAGCAGTGTTACAAGATTGCAGTTTGAAAGACTCTGAGGCTTGCTCTCTTTGTACAAAGGGAGGTTAGGGGATGTTGTAAGGGAATTTGACGTACTGGCATCCAAATGAGAATTTTCTCCTTAATAAAGTTAAAAACCTGGAATGGGAACTGCAAGGGAAATACTTTTCTCACTCTAAGACTTGAGGTTATTTACTGCCTTGTTGGTTATCCCTGAAAGTGATCCCAGATGTGGCGTGGGAAATGGTAGAAGTAGAAATTGGGCGAGCACTGCCTGGGTAGCTGATGTCTCCCCGGCCCGGCCTGGCTAGAGCCGTTTCTTAGCTCCAGCTCCACACTGTGGGGGCGCTAGAGCGGTGCGCCCAGGTGCCGGGCTACGAGAGCTCAGGTGGCCACCTGGCCGGGTCTGATTGAAGTTCTGGTCCCTGGGGAAGCCTTCTTAGGGACATCTGCACTGCAAAGGCCCTTCAGCCAGTGTCAGACCATCTTGCAGGGCTCGGGGGGACCATCAAAGTTGGCATCTACTTCAGGAGCCTTCCCGTACTTGATCTCTGAACTACATCCTGCCCAGTGGTTTTCTGCCTCTCTGTTCAAACAGTTATCACTGGGGACCACCCATCCTTGGACCCCTCTAACTGAACAAAGCTCTTCCTTAGGTTGAGGGGAAACCTGTCTCCCTAAGGATTAAGGATTCTCCTGACCCCCTTGGACATGTGTCTGTTAAGTTGTGGGAGCCGGGAATAGAAGGACCCCCTCAATAGTTTAATTTCTGTACTTTTTGAATGTAGCTGAAGCTCCCCCCAGCCTGTTTGGTGACATTTCCTTACTGACTCGCTTCCTCCTTACTGGATCCTTCAGCTCCAAGCCTTTTACAGGTGCTGCTTTAGCAGCTTACTTGGGAGACCACGGTGGTGCCTAACTCTGGGTCTTGGCATTTGCTCTTTCCTCCACCTCAGACATGTTCCCAGTATTGTTTCTGTTTTTAAAGTCTAGTGTTCTCCCTTGCAGAAACTCTGCCAGGAGCAAGCTGTTCTTAGGGGCAGATTCCACCTTTGATCTCTGATGGAGGCTACTGAGTTTTTGGATGAACCCATACACACCTGCGTGGAAGTCAGGTTATAATGTCCTTAGTAGAGAACAAAGACAAAATGTTTATTTTAAGTGTTTTCAAATCAGCCAGGCAAGTAATTTCCTCAACTTCATTCTACCACTCAGGGAACCACACAGACCCAGTGGATGACACATGGAGACGTTCCTCTGTTCCGAATCTGCTAGGGCTGTGGGACACGGCAGAAAAGCAATCTTTTGTCATCCCTGTCACGTGTCCACTTACCAGAGCGATACTTCCTAACGTGATCTATTAAATGCAATCCCTATCAAAATCTCAACGGCCTTTTTTTTGCAGAAATGGAAAAGCTGATCCTAAAATTCATACCAGGTGGTCACAAATAGCCAGGACAATCTTGGAAAAGAACAAAGGTGGACTACTCAGGTTTCAAGATTTCAAGAATTACTTGAAAGCTACTGTAATCGAAACATCGCAGTGCTAGCATGGAGAGAGGCAGGCCATTCACTGGAATGGAATTAAAAGTCCAGGAATAAACCCATACATCTAAGGTCAAGTGATTCTTGTCAAGAGTGCCAAGACCATTCAGTGGGGAAAGCAGTCTCTTCAACAAATGGGGCTAGAAAACTGGATATCCACATGCAAATGAATGAAAGGAACCCTTTTACACCAGGTGCAAAAGTTAACTCAAAATGAATGAAAATTAAAATTAGAAGCTAAGACTAAGCAACTCTTAGATGAAAACATGGGGAGATCTTTATGACCTTGGATCTGACAATGGTTTCTTAAATATGCCCAAAGCACAGGCAACCAAAGAAAAATGCACGGGACTTTTTTTTTTTTTTCCCCCGCACGGGACTTTTTAAAACTTAAAGCTTTTGTGCATCAAAGGACACTATCAAGAGAAAGCAAAAGAGTTGAGTAGGCAGCTCCAAAAACCTCCATCCCTCCAAAGAAGCATTGAAAAACAAGATGAGCAGCACCTGGGTGGCTCAGTCGGTTAAGCGTCTGACCTCAGCTCAGGTCATGATCTCACAGCTCATGGGTTCGAGCCCCGCATCGGGCTGTGTTGGCAGCTCAGGGCCTGGAGCCTCCTTTCAATTCTGTGTCTCCCTGTCTCTCTGCTCTTCTCCCACCTGTGATCTCTCTCTCAAAAATAAATAAGAAATAAATATTAAAAAAAGAAAAAGAGAAACAGGCTGAAACTGTCAGAACCAGCAAAGTCCAAGGTTTATAGCAACCAAGGAAACACTGAATGGAGAGAAAGACCCTAGAAGTGGCAGGAAAGCTGTGCAGTGTTTTTCCTTGCCCTTGCCTCATCTCCCGGGTTTGGTGGCCGTTTTGAAGAGGGCAGCCTGTGTTCCCTGTGTGGGACCCTAGTCCTTGGTTCCAGAGAAAGCAGAGCAGACCTTATTCCCAAATTCTAACCTGTCTGGGGCTAGAAAGACTGACACAAGGTGCTGGTCTCTGGCTCGCCTGACTCAGAATCACCGGGCAGAAAAGCAGTGAGCATTGCTTCAAAACTTTGTAAGGTGCACAAAACCTGCAGCCAGCTGAAGCAAAAGGTTATGGTTAAGGCCTGCAATAGACGACTTAAAGCCTGCAGAGAAATGCCGGGGAGAGCATTAAATTAGGGTGTTCAAAAGTGACCTTGTGTAGGAGGAAATTTAGAAAGCCACATGCAAGCCAGGACAGGATGCTCACTCAGAAAAGACTGGAGAAGACCCTGAGCTTTCCCCTCTGGCAGGTCTCTGGGCTCAGTCCAAGCAGGAAATAAAGGCTAAGGCAGAGTTAAAGGAGCTGAATTGGCCCAGTGTCGAGTGCCCCAGCACAGAGCCTGTCTGTAAAGACTGGGAGACATGTAGGTTTTGTTTGGGCTCCTGGTAATCAAGAAGACCTCTGTCAGATACTAGCAGAACAGAGACTTGAAGTGACCACACATGACAAGGAGGACAGTCTGCGAAACTAGTTTGAGAAGGTCCCCTAAACGTGGCTGCAGCCTTTAGTGATCAAAAACAGCAGACTCGGGGCGCCTGGGTAGCTTAGTCGGTTAAGCGTCCGACTTTCGCTCAGGTCATGATCTCGCGGTTTGTGGGTTCAAGCCCCACATCGGGCTCTGTGCTGACTGCCAGCTCAGAGCCTGGAGCCTGCTTCGGATTCTGTGTCTCCCTCTCTCTCTGACCCTCCCCTGCTCGCGCTGTCTCTCTCTCTCCTAGAAATAAATAAAACATTAAAAAAAAAAAATTCAAAAACAGCAGACTCTAAGGAAAGGGAGGAACTGGTTTGCAGTTAGCATATTATGATGTTCAATACCCAATTTTCAACAAAAACAAGTTCTGCAAAGAAACAGGACGACAGTCCATTCAAAATGGGGAGAATGACGGAAACCATCCGTGAAGAAGCCCAGATATTGGTCTTACTAGACAAAGGCTTTAAACCATCTGTCTTAATTAAATATGCTCAAATGGCCAGAGGAACCCCTAGAGCGGGTTCTGGGTCTGGCTCTGATGCTAGAGCTGATAGCTCGGCACCTAGCACTGACTCTAGTGCTGGCTTTGGCGCTGCAGCACCTTCTAGCTCGAGCTGGCACTGGCTCTAGGTGTGTAAGGGACACTGGAGTTGGAGCTACAGCTGGAGGTGGTCCTGCGGCTGATGCTAGGGCTGGTCCGGGAACTGGCTCTGCCTTTGAAGCTTGCTCTAACCCTACAGCTGGCCCTAGCTCTGGCGCTGGTCGGTAGAGCTGGAGCCAGCTCTGTCTTGTCAATGGCTCTCTTACTGGAGCTGGCTCTAGTTCTAGACTGGTTCTCGCTCTGGTGCTGAAGCTTATTCTGGGTCTGAAGCTGACAGTACGGCTGTAGCTTGAGAGTAGGTTCTAGAGCTGGTGCTGGTATTAGCTATCGCTCTAGAACTGGTGTTGGAGTAGGTGGTAGAGCTATTTTTAGCTCTGGAACTGGACCTAGTGCTAGTACTAGGACCGATACTGGTAATGGAGCTGCATAGGGTCTAGCTTTGCAGCTGACACTAGCTTTGAAGACGGCACTGGATTCTGGAGCTGACCAACTCTAGAGTTGCACTGAAGTTGAATGTAGCACTGGAGCTGGTAGTAGAGCTACCCCCGGATCTGGCCTTGAAGCCAGGGCTGGCACTGGCTCTAGCTCTGGACCTGGTACCAGAGTTTGTTCTAGCTCTAGAGGTGGCTCTGACTGTAGGTCTACAGCTGTACCTGGTGCCAAAGCCATCTCTAGCTCTGGATCTGGTGTTCCAGCCAGCACCGGAGCCGGTTCTGGAAAATTCATACACGGCACTCCAGGGC